AAGCCCCTTATCAGATATATGATTTACAAATATTTTCTCCCATTCTGTGGGTTGTTTTTTTTTTACTTTTTTGATGGTGTCCTTTGAAGTACAAAAGTTTTTAATTTCGGTGAAATACTAATTTATCTATTTTTTTCTTTTATTCCTTGAATTTTGGTCATGTCTAAGAAACTGTTGCCTAATCAAAGGTCACAAAGATTTATTCCTATGTTTTCCTTTAAGAGTTTCATAGTTTCATCTCTTACATCCATGTCTATGATCTGCTTAATGTATTACTGAATATTTCCATATGATTGAACACTTTTCTATCATAGAAGTGGAATTACTACGTCAAAGATTGCATGTTTTTGAGGCTTTTGATACATGTCCCAAAGTTGTTGTGACTCTCTTCTCCCTGTCATTTCCCTCTCCCTTCCTCCCTGTCTCCCACTGCACTGGTTCAGGCCTTTGCCATCTCTTGCCTTCCATGTTGCAGTAGCCTCCTACCCGTTCTTAATGGACACTGTCAGTGCAGTGTGATAAACCTGGTGGCATGTGCTGTGACAGTACAGAGGAGGGGCATCTAACCCCGTCCAGTGATTTAGGGTAGGGGAGTGAGAAGAGGTTGGGGAGGGCATCAAGGGGGGCTTCCTGGACGTGACAGTGAGCTGACTCAGCAGGTGGAGTGGGCACTGGCAGAGCATAAACATGCAGCACCAGCATCCTGGGCCCAGGAGTGAGGAGTGTGTGTGAGGTCCTGGAGGTAGAGGGAGCGTGGCCTGGTGGTCCAGAGATGGACACTGGCTCTGCTGCTTTGGGGCTGCGTGTTCTTGGGGAAAGGGACTTACCCTCTCTGTGTTTTAGTTTTCTCATCTGTGAAATGGGGGCAATAGCTAACAACAGCAGCTAACTTTTAGGATTGTTGCAGGACCAAATGAGGGAGCGTATATTGAGGTTCTGGCTGGGTGGCCACTCCCTGAGGAGGAGGAGGGGGAGGAGGTCAGGGCTGCCTCTGTTGATGGACAGAGGCAGCTGTGCGTATAGATTTGGAGCCGAGGTGATAGAGAGCTGGTTAAGACTGAGGGCTTGGGTGTTGTTCCCCCGGGAGCCGGCTGGGATAGTGGTTATAAGCTGGTCTCTAGACCGCTTGGGTTTGGATTCCAGCTCTGCTACTTATTAGTTGTGTAACCTTGAGCAAGTTGTTTACTATCTCTGTGGCTTAGTTTCATCTGTAAAATGACAATAATAACAGTACCTTGTTCATAGGAATGCTGTGAAGATTAAATGAGTCATAGGTAAGGCGCTTAGAATAGTGCCTGACACTATTGTTTTTCTTCGTGATGGGAAAGAGGGGGAGGGTAGGAACTGGAAAGAGATGAGGAATTCAGAGAGGTCTGTGATGGTTTAGGAACGCAGTGGATCTGATTGCCTGCGCAGGGTCGTGTAAATACTGGAGTCTAAGTGGGAGACTGAGCCAGTGCCTGAGGGGCAGCAGCCTCCCTTGTGGGGGCTGTCAGCAGCGGGAGAGGAGAGGGCGATATGGCCAGTGGAATGAGCATAAAAGGAGCAGGGGCTTTTACAAGAGGGTAGAGGACTCATGATCCGGATGTGGCAATAAATAACAATAGCCATAGCAATTACTTTTATTACTCTGGAGAGGGCAGTGGGTAACAAGAAGAATGCCAGCTCTTTCTCCTTGGATCCATCCTTCACTTTGCAGCCACGTGTTCATTCATTCAGCACGTGTCTACTGAGTGCCTGAATGGGCCAGCTACAGTGCTGGGCACTGGGACGTGGCAATAAATGTGACAGACCCAGTTCCTGCCTTCACAGAGCCTGCTGGCTAAGGGGAGAGATGGATGTTAAACAGTGGTGAAAGTCACTAATCAATACAGATTGGATCATGCGACTCCCCCAGTTCCAGAATCTTCATTCTCTCTCCACTTCTATGGAATAAAATCCCGACTCCTAAGCGTGGCATGAAGGCCCTGCAGGATCGGGCCCGGTGCTGCTCTTGGCAGCTCTCCTGACCACTGCTGATCCCTCACCCAGGCCCCCACGACTGCCTTCTGTGCCCCAGACCAACTATATCATCTCCATAACCCCCTCCCTCTGCTCATGCCCTCTCTCTGCCTGGCATGCTCCTACTGGTCCTTCAAGGCCTGTGCAGCAAATGTGTCTTCCTTTGGGAGGCCTTTTCTGGTCACCATCGTGCTCTGAGCCGTGTTCCCAGAGCACTTTGGTCTTTTTTGGATTGTCCTACTTCATGTATAGAATCAGAAGTGGCAGCGTGGCTCCACTGGGAGGAGGTCATGACACAGGCTGAGTTAGGAATGGGCACTGGGAGGAATGTGTCAGGGGAGTGGGGGATGCCCACGGGTAGGAAGAGCACCTGTGGCTTAGGGGGCCACCTTGAGTGGCTGGCTGGAGCCGGGGGACCACTTCCCTCCTTTAGAAACATTATGTAAAGCTTGGGCTCTGGGACTTGGCAGTGTGTTCCGAGAGTTTCTTCATGGAGATGCACATCTGAGGATTCCTTCGTGAGTTGGTGAACCCAAGGGTGCCAGTAAAACCTGAGGTGGAGCAAAAGGGAGTTAAAAATCCCAGCTGTGGGAGGAGGGCAGGTCAGAGGCCCAGCAGAAGCTGGTGGAACTTTCCCTGACTCGGGTGCGCCGTCACTGCTGGCTGGGGCTGGCCTTAACTTCGGGCAGCCAAGGGCTGCCTTCTCTGTATTTGAGATACATCCCAAAGCCCTTTCCTGGTGTCTTGGTGGTGGCACATGGAGAAGACCCCACGGGCTGGGGGCAGGGAGCCTATCCCCAGGCAGCTGCACAGAGGTAAGGGAGCCTCCCTGGGGGAGGCCTCAGAAATCCAGCTGCTGGATCTCAGAGATCCAGGAGCAGGTCCAAAGGGTAGCTGTTGATCACTACCCATGAGGCTGCTGCAGCCTGAGCCTCACGGGTGGTCATCCCCAGCAAGGTTGAGCTGGAGCCCCAGTGAGGCCCGGATATGGCCCCTCCCCCAGAAAGGGAGAGAGCTGCCCTGGTGGAGGACAGGGGGCCACCAGGCTGAGAAATGTGGTGAGAATGTTAGGAGTGGCCTGAGTGAGAGCTGTGGGAGCGTCTCCCTCATCAGAGGCCGAGGCCCGCTTCGGGGCAGCCTGGGAGGACGGACGGGCATCAGCAAGTGACTGAGGTGCTGGCAGCTCCTGCTCCGGGCTGAGCTGCCGCCCAGCCCGGGATCCCCGTGGGTGCGGGCAGTTAATCTCCGAAGGCCAGAGTCGCCATTGCTGGAGAGCAGGAACATTGAACTTTTCAATCACATTAATTTCCACAGGAAATTGTTGTCTTCCTTTTGTCCAAAGGTTAGTGATTTATATTTACCATCCTCTTAACTAGCCTTCAAATTTACTGTTGCCAGGTCACCACCAGCATCCATAAATCTCAGGGTGGCAGCTGAGCATAGCCAAGTGTCTTGATCCTTGGAAGGGTACACCCCGGCCCTTTCGGGAGGGCAGATAATAGACAGTCCCCCGCACAGAAGTGCCCCTGAGGGGGTGGGAACTCACTTGGCAGGGGACATGAGATGAGGTCTGACCGCCAAGGTTGCAGGGAGGCCTCTTTGAAAGAGCGTGAGGAGGCAGCTCGCTCTGCCTCCGCATATCACGCATATAATTCAGTGCGCATAAGCTCTGAAGTGGCTTAGTTAGGATGGGGAGCAGGGGCCAGATTCCAAGCTCTATACTTCCTGTGTGACCTGAGCCAAGTGACTTAACCAGTCTGTACCTCAGTTTCCTCATCTGTAATAATATTCCTCATAGCGTTGTTATGAGCGTTAAGCCTCGATACATGTCAGCTATTATTATTCTCTGGCAGGACAGGGTGGGTGGTTTGGTATGGGCCCTCAGAGTCAGTCTGCGCCACCTCCCCACATACACTGTCTCATCCATTTCTCCTTTTTAAAACCCTCTTCTGGGGCTGGCCCAGTGGCATGGTGGTGAAGTTCACACACTCTGCTTCAATGGCCCAGGGTTCGTGGGTTTGGATCCCAGGCACAGACTTACACACCTCAAGCCACACTGTGGCGGTGTCCCATATACAAAATAGAGGAAGATTGGCACAGATGTTAGCTCAGTGACAATCTTCCTCAAGCAAAAAGAGGAAGATCAGTAACAGATGTTAGCTCAGGGCCAATCTTCCTCATCAAAAAAAAAAAAAAAAAAAGAGAGAAGACCCTCTTCTTCCATCTTCTTATGGAATTAGAACAGGGGCTGGCAAACTTTTTCTGTAAAGGGCCAGTAAGTACATTAGGCTTTGTAAACCCTACAGTCTGTTTCAACTACTTAGCTCTGCTGTTTTAGCATGAAAGCAGCCATAGACAATAAGTAAATGAATGAGCGTGGCTTTGTTCCAATACAACTTTATTTGTGGACTCAAATTTAAATTTCATATAATTTTCATGTCACAAAAGATTCTTCTTCTTTTTTTTTTCCTTTTTCTCCCCAAAGCCCCCCACCCCCACCCCCAGTACATAGTTGTATATTCTTCGTTGTGGGTCCTTCTAGTTGTGGCATGTGGGACGCTGCCTCAGCGTGGTCTTAACCACTCGGCCACGGGGCCAGCCCCAAAGCCATTTTTATTTTTAGCTCGTGGGTCATACAAAACCAGACCATGGGCTGGGTTTGGCCGACGGCTTGTAGTATGCTGATCCCTTGATTAGAAGGTGAAGTTGTGTGGAGAAAGCACTCACTTTTCTCACCTGGGCTATGTCTTTGAATCACTAAAGAAAGGTGTCCTCATGTGGGTTTTTCCACTGACCCTCCTGAGAGGCCTAAAAGCCGCTTAAAGCAGGACAGAGGAAGGAGCCCCGTGGGAACCTGAGGCACACGGGCTGGCAGGATGCCCGGGCCTGGCACCGTGGTTCCCTGCCTGCAGCGAGTGGTGCTGGCTCTGGATTGGCCAGTCACCCCCACCCCGCGCCCCAGCTCTCGTGCTCACAGTCTCACCGTGTCTGTGTTTCAGAGAACAGCCCCAACCGAGGTGGGAAGGAGGCGGGGACTCGACAGCCTCTGGTGATTCTCTTGGGCTGGGGTGGCTGCGCCGACAAGAACCTTGCCAAGTACAGCGCCATCTACCATGAAAGGGTGAGTACTGCAGGCATGTGGACACCCGGCATGCTGGGGCCCTGCCTCCTGTGGCCGCTCTGTGGGGAGCTCTGAGCCTGGGCTGCCCTCATCGCTGGGCTGCAGCGAAGGTTGACCACCAATGGGGCAGGCCTGGGAATGGCACCAAGAACAGCCTGTGAGGAAGACCCTGGGCTCTTTGGCAGGATTATTCCCCCTTTTTGCTGCCAGGTCTGTGGCCTGGTCTGTCTCCTTCAGCCCCCTGACCTGCCTTCCCCTCCTTCCTCCCCAGACCCCACAGTGGGCAGCACAGCCTGATGTGCTCCCAGCTGTGGAGTTGGCCCAGACGTCAAGTCTCTGTTGTCTGGATGCTGCCTGTCTGGGCAGCAGGAGCCTGGGCGGGGTGTGCTGGACATCGTCTGCACTCCCAGGACTTTCTCCTTTTCTGACCAGGTGAGTTGCTGTCTTAGGGTTGACCATGGCACCTCCACATTCCCAGCGTAGAAGGGCCTCTTGGAAAAGAGATTCAGGCTTGAGGTTTTCTTGCTTCTTCTCAGGCAGCACCAAGAGGTGGATGTAGTAAGTGGAGAGAGAACCTTAGGAGGGCCTGCTTATATTTTGGAAGCCCTTTTCATATCTTTGTCCTCTGGCCCAGCCCTGCTGTCCTCAGCCCAGACCTCCCAAAGCAGGAAGATACCAGTACAGACAGCCCCAGCCACCAACTGGAAGCCCTGGACTGAGGAGGAGTGGGAGTCTCCTGGGAGAAAGGCCAGCTGGTGCCCCACACCCCTGCCTCAGCCTCCCTCCACTGACCCATGACTGCACTGTGCCTGCGATGTGTGGTGGCCCTGGAATGGGAGAAAGGTTGGGGAAAAAATGTAGTTCTGAGCTTGAGGGCTCCCCACAACCAGCAAGCCTGGTCTTCTGGCATCGCCTTTTACAGATTGCCTTACTCTGCAAGTAGTTCCAGCTACTTCTGAATTCCAGTCACTGGCCTGTGTGTCTGGCTTCTCTGTTACACTAAAATCCTTGAAGGCAGGTGGAGGAATAGGAATAGGTGAGTGTGGCTACAGCAGAGAATGAAAGAAAGGGCAAGTGTCAAGAGATGAGGCTGGGGAGGGTCGTCAGGAGATTTAAGCAGGGGTGTGATCTTAGATTTGTGCTTCTGAAAGTCCCTCACCAGAGTAGGGGAAGGGTTGGAGGGGCCAGGACTAGAAGCAGAGAAGCGAGTTTATTGCAGTGCTCGGGACTTTGGGCCTGGTGATGCCGGGGGAGGGAAGTTGATGGATCAAGGAGCTTATTAGGAGGTAGAATGGTAGATTAATGAGAGATTGTGTGTGAGCATAGGGATAGAGAGAGGTCCAGGGTAATGACAAGTTTCTGGCTGTGGCAGATCCTGGGGGGTGGGGAGGAGGGTGTTCCTTTTTTTTTTCTTGTTTTTTTTTTTCCATTTTTTTTTGCTGAGGAAGATGAGCCCCGAGCTAACATCCATGCTAGTTTTCCTCTACTTTATATGTAGGTCACCACCACAGCATGGTGTAGGTCTGCACCCGGGATCCAAACCCACAAATCCAGGCTGCTGAAGGGGAGCATGCTGAACTTAATCACTGTGCCAGGGGGCCAGCCCTCGGGGGGATTTTCTTTGTTTTTGTGAGGAAGATTTGCCCTGGGCTAACATCCATTGCCAGTCTTCCTCTTTTTCTTTTTTTTTGCTTGAGGAAGATTAGCCCTGAGTTAACATCCATGACAGTCTTCCTCTACTTTGTATGTGGGATGTCTCCACAGCATGGCTGATGAGTAGAGTAGGTCCACACCCAGGATCTGAACCCACGAACCCTGGGCCGAAGCAGAGCATATGGAACTTTAACCACTTGGCCATGGGGCCGGCCCTGGGGGCGTGTTTTTTGAGACAAGGAACACTAGAAGAAAAGCCAGGCTTTGGGCTGGATGAGATTCCCCCAGGGAGTGTGTAGAGGGCAAAGAAAGGATGGCCTAGGAGAGAGCCCCGAGCAACCGAAACTTAAAGGAGTGGAAGATGAAGAGGGTCTTGTGTGGAAAGGAGGAGTAGCCAAAGATGGACAAGAAAACCCAGGAGAGCACGACAGAATCCACAGAGAGTCCTTGGGAAATGGGCCACTGGAGAGAGAGAGGAAAGGTGTTACTGGGGGAGAAGGCATGGGGAAGACGGTGATGGCATAGAGGGAGAAAGCGATCCCAGGGCGGGCAGAGGGGTTGAGGTGGCAGGGCTGGTCGGGGTTGTCTGTGAAAGGAAGTGGGGGTGCCTTTACCCTCTGGCTGGGAGGACAGGATGGGTGTGGAGAAAAAAATATTTCCAACCCAAAACTCCTAATACTTTATTATTTAAAAGAAAATAAAAATACCATATTCTACCACCTAGGGATTACCTCTATTTACACATTAGGTTCAGCTTTTTTTCCGTGTGCATCTGTTCTTTACCTGAATGAGGTCTGTTGAATATACCCTTTCGTATCCTGCTTTTTTTCAGATCATGATCTTCACCTTCCCGTCTTAACAAATTTTTGTCTCGTCTAGTTTCCAGTCCGTATTCAGATTCTCTAATAGTCCCCAAAGTGTCCTTTATAGCTGATTTGCCCAAACAAGGATCCCATCCAGGATCATCTGTTGCATCTAGTTATTTTGTTCCTTACGCATCTTTTAAATCTAGAGCAGTCCCTTTTTTCATGATGCTGACTTATGGAAGAGCCCACGCCACCAGGGATGATTTCTAGGAGTGGGAGATCCAAGTGCTGCTGGAAAGGAAGTGTGGTGGGGACTGAAAGGCCTCATGGGATTTGACCTTTGGGGAGAATGTGGGTGACCTTGGGAAAAGCAGTGTAGTCAATCAGATTGTAGTCAGTGGGAGTGGTGAGGTGGGGAGGGTGGGTGTCAAGGTTTGTCTAGGAAGGTGAGGAGAGGGTGGGATAGATTTAGAGGGGAGCACTGTATAAAGGCAGAGGCCTTTTTTTTTTTTTTAGGAAGATTAGCCCTGAGCTAACTACTGCCAATCCTCCTCTTTTGGCTGATGAAGATTGGCCCCGAGCTAACGCCTGTGCCCGTCTTCCTCGACTTTATATGTGGGATGCCACCACAGCATGGATTGATAAGCAGTGCGTAGGTCTGCACCTGGGATCTGAACCGGCAAAATCTGGGCTGCCAAAGCAGAGCTCGTGATCCTAACTGCTACACCACTGGGCTGGCCTCCTTCTTTTTTGTTTTTAAGAGATAGGTTTGAGCAGGGATCTGGAGAGAGGAAAAGACTGAAAATGCAGGGGAATGAGGTGAGGACTGATGGAGCAGACCCTTGTCCTGGGACCGAGTGTGTGCAGAGATGGAGGAGGTTGGCTTCAGGGGAGAGAGAAGAGATTGGGATCTGACATGCAGCGAGAACCAGGTCCTTGGTGCAGGGACTTCTAGTAGCATCTGACTGGGGAGGTGGCAGCAGAGATGCCAGGTACCTGGGAAACCTCCACAGGAGGCCCACTTCCATGGTCATAAGAAAGCTGTGTGTGTGTGCCTTTCACAGGGATGTGTAGGCCCTCAGAGATGCTCAGTTCACAGGAATTGCTGAGCTTATGTCTGTACCAACAGGTAGTTCTGTTTGTGAGTGCTCCTGGGGAGGAGTGTGTGTGTGTGTGTGTGTGCGCGTGCGCACGTGTGCGTACGTGCAAGCGCTCTTGAAGGCAGTGCTGCATGCAAGTGCGTACCCACCCAGTGGTATGTGTGCTTATGGGTGTGAATTGGCAGCTGTGCTTTTTTGTGCACTCAGAAGTGGTACAGTGGGTGCACCTTAGTGAGTGGTGGGCACCGTGGGTGTCTGCATCTATGGGATGTGAGGTGGACAGCTTTGTTTAGTCCCAGGAATTGTGTGTGTGGTGGTGATGTGGGAGTGTGTCTGCATTTGTGGGCAATGCTGTGTGTAGGTTGGGGGTGGGTGGAAAGACATTTCACATCCCACTGAGGAGTTACAGTGGAGCACACTGTGAAATTTCCCAGAGCTAAGGGGCCAGGTGGCATCCGTGACCCCCCTCTGCAGTCTCAGGAGGGGTGCTTGACCACGCCAGGGCCTTGGTTAGAGCCATGCCAGGAGGCGTTGGGTTAGGTGTCAGATTGGAGTCAGTGGGAGGGGACGAAGACAGGGGGCTAATGGGAGGGCTGACTCAGCTGACCACCCCTGTTTGGCTATTGGTCATTCAAGTACTGTGCCCATAGAATTTTCTCCTTGTTATTGCTCCTACCACCACTAATTACTGCTACTTAGTTGAGAGGTTACTTTGTCCCAAGTGCTGTTTTGTGCACTTAAAATAGATTTTTTTCATTTAATTTTTGCCATAACCCCATGGGATGGCTGTATCCCAATTTATAGATGGAGACACAGACTCAGAAAGATGAAGTAAATTGCGCTTCGTCCTTAGTATTAATAAGTGGTGGTACCAGGAATTGAACCTGTCTGACCCCAGACAGGGGGTCTTAATTGGGGTCAGACCTGTCTGACCCCAGAGCTGCCTAGCTCAGATTCCCCTGACCAAGGGCCATTTGTCTCTGGAACAGGTTCATGAGAGGGGATTAGGACTCAGGCGGGGTGACTTTGGCTGCCTTTTCTAACTGGCCTAGAAGGGGATCCGTCTGGACACTTTGAGGCGTACTTGACCCAGACATTGAGGGGTACAAAAGCCTAGAGAGAGTGTAGCTCATATTTTAGAATGTAGAAACAGCGTTTACGATATTTGGAATTTCATGGCGAGTGGGAGGAGTGATCCCAGACCTTGGAACCAGACAGGCTGCCAAGCCCCTGAGGCCAAGGAGTATATACGCTGCTCTCAGGGCCCTGTGGGAAGGTGGCAGTGGCCAGATTGACATGATGTGGGCCTGGCTCACGAGTGGCCTCTGGTGGTCAAGGCTGGGTCTGCAGGCTATGTCTTGGATGTTGGGTCTTATGGGGGTACCTCCTTGTGCTTGGGAGGAGGAGCAGAGTCACTGCAGCGTGGTGTAGCCAAGCAGGGAGGCCTTAAGTGTGCCAGAGTTGAGCAGCTGAGGGTGCAAGGTCGGGGATGGGAGGGAGACAGGGAGTGGACCAGAGTGAGGAGACTTCTTTTTGGTCAGCCCAGATGTCTCCAAAGCGTGCTCTGGGCTCCAGGCCTCACCTACCATCACAGGCTGAGGGGGCTTGGCCAGCATGAAGCGATTATTCCACAAGTGGGCTTGGAGTGTACCTTCCATTCTGGAAGGTACCTGTGTTTGTGAGTGGTGAGCTGCTGCCCAGGGCCTGGAGCACTGCTGGGCTTATGGGCCTGTAGAAGTTGGAGCTGCTGCACCCCTCTGACCTTGGCTTGTACCCATCACCCCCACCCCATCCCTGAGGACCAACCAGGCCTCTCTCCTCTCCCCAGGGCTGCATCGTGATCCGATACACAGCCCCATGGCACATGGTCTTCTTCTCCGAGTCCCTGGGCATCCCTTCGCTTCGTGTTTTGGCCCAGAAGCTACTTGAGGTACTCTTTGATTACGAGATTGAGAAGGAGCCCCTGCTCTTCCACGTCTTCAGCAACGCCGGTGCCATGCTGTACCGATATGTGCTGGAGCTCCTGCAGACCCATCGGCGCTTCTGCCACCTGCGTGTGGTAGGCACCATCTTTGACAGCGGTCCTGGTGATAGCAACCTGGTGGGGGCTCTGCGGGCCCTGGCAACCATTCTGGAGCACCGGCCTCCTGTGCTGCGCCTCCTGCTCCTGGTGGCCTTCGCCCTGGTAGCAGTCCTATTCCATGTCCTGCTTGCTCCACTCACTGCCCTCTTCCACACCCACTTCTATGACAGGCTCCTTGACACAGCCTCTGGCTGGCCTGAGCTCTACCTCTACTCGAGGGCGGATGAAGTGGTCCTGGCCAAGGACGTGGAACGCATGGTGGAGGCCCGCCTGGCACAACAGGTCCTGGTGCGCTCTGTGGACTTTGTGTCATCAGCACATGTCAGCCACCTCCGCGACTACCCTACTTACTACACGAACCTCTGTGTCAATTTCATGCGCAGCTGTGTCCACTGCTGAGGTCCTTGCCCCACCCACTTCACCTCTGCTCCAGAAATAAAATGCCTGACACTTCCTCACGACCCACATCCATGGGTGGGATCCTCTTCTGATTCAACTCCCTACGGCCTTCTAGGACTTTGTAGTCCCACAAATAGAGAATTTCTATGGGCTTCTGTCCCAGGGGACTGTGGTGGTCCTCTTATTCCAGGATCCTAGCGGGTAGGAGTGCCTGGGCACATTTCTTTGGGAACCTTGCAGTGGTTGTGTTTGGACAAATGCAACAGGCTGCTGACTCCTGTGGCATTTAGGCTGTAAAGGGTTAACAAAGGGCGGGCGGCAGGGGGGAGTTTGAGAATGAGCCCCAGGATGGATCTTTGATTCCTTGCATGGAAGGTGAGCTTTGTGGGGAGGTGCCAGAGGGTAGAGTCAGGCTGGGGCAGGGGCTGTGATCTCTGCTCCAAGGCCCTGGAAGGGCAAAGCCGCACGGCATGGAGCACCATCCCCACAGATCACACTGCAATGGGTAGTTCACTCAAGAGAGGCATCTCTGACCTCACTGCCAGGGAGTCTGAGGTAGAAGCCAGATGGGGAGCTGAGGATGCATAGGGTGGAGGGCCTGCCCTGGTCCATCACACTTTGTCAGGAAGCCACTGGATCTAAGAAAGTTGCAACATGTGCAGTGATGGGCAGCTGGAGTGGGGAGCAGGAAGACAGCAGTGCCATATGGGAGCTGGGACAGGCTAAGTCAGGAGCCCTACAGGCCTGAACCAGGGCAAGGGCATTTGGCTGAAACAACAAACTCCTTCATCTCCTTGAAGGAGACCCACTTGGATCCTCTCCAGGCAGGAGAGGTGGCTTTAGTCTTAAGAGTTCTGTGTCATCTGTCATTCTACAAGTCACTGCTACACTATGTTGGCACATAGGTATTCAATAAATATTTGTTGATTGAGTGAGCATACTGTGGTGATCAGGGGACTTGGGAAGGCAGGGATGGGCTTTGAAAGTTTGACAGGCAGTGAAGGAGATGGCTGGCAAAGCTCTGGGTGGGAGCTGACTCCTGATATTTTCAGGGCTGATGGACCTGCCTCCAGAGGTGAGCTCTATCTTTGTTGCATCAGCCCTCTGGGACTTTGCACTGCTATTTGCAGCCCATTCCTGTGCTGTGTGGCTGCATTCCTAGTGATGGCCAACAGGTGGCAGTGCTGCCTGTGCCATGAGACAGAGCTCAAGGATCTCACAGCAGGGCAGGCTTCATGCCCTCACTCTGGGTTAATGTCCTCTGTGAAAGACCATATAGTCCCCAGGGTGGAGTAACCAGTCATCAAGGACCTACTGAGTCCAAGGCAGGGATAGGGGAGAGTCGAGACCTGAAAGGAGCCAGCCCAGTGGGCACTGGGCATTACCCACGTCTTTGCCAAACTCAGCAGTCACTGTGGCTGCTCCACCATGACAGGCCACGTACATTGCTCAGAATCCTGGGCCCCAGGATCCTTGTATTCAGGATATTTGGTGCCATCAAGCTTGGCATGGGCCTGTGAAGGGCCTTTGCAAGGGTGACGTCATCTGGGTGCAGAGGGAGGTAGGAGCTGCCAACTGGACCCGGTTCTCTAGTAGTCACTGGGCATCGCAGAGGAGATGGGTGTGTCTAAGGCAGGAGATTTGGGAAGGTAGTAGGTGGGCCTGGTGTGTAAGAATGTGTAAAGGGAAGGAGTTGGAAGTCATGGAGATACTCTGGGGTCAAATTTTAGCAGAATCTTGTTTTCTCAAAACAGCTTTCTGTGGTGGGCAAGGCCTCATGTGCAGCTTCAGGCACCTGCCCGAGCACTCAGGATGCTGATTACTGACTGGCTGTGGGCAGCCATAGGGATGATCTGACAAAGTGCCATGTCCAGTGCTAGCTGCCCAGCCTCAGTTCCCTGACTTGAAGGTCCAGCTTGGATAATAGGGTTTTCTACTGTTTCCATTTGTCCCAGGCAGAAGCTATACCCAGCTGTTGCTCAGTAGGATGGAGAACACAAAAGCCATGGGGGGCTTAAATGGTGGTTCCTTTTTTGGTCCCTCGTTCATTTCACATTTCAGGGGACTAAAAAGGGGTAGAGCTTTGGGGTTTATGTTTTCACTCAAGCTTATAGCTGCTCCTGCCCTAGATTGGGGGATAGAGCTTGCATCCCCTCTGTACCCCCAAGCTCTGACCTCTTCTGTGATTAATGAGCTGACGATTCTGCATCGATAAGGAATTAACCTGGAGCCCCTACCCATCAATAGTCAGGAGTCCAGGTCCTGAGCCCCACCCCCAACCCCAACGGAGTGCTCCAGGGCCCCTGAGCAGACCAACCCTGCATTGCTTTACACACCCACAGCCAAGTTCTTCCCCTGACACTGCTGCCAGGAATTAACCCCTTAACTGCCTCTGTCCACACCACCCCATCACCCACCCCTCCCTACACACATACACACAGGCAGCAGCTGTTTATATTGGTTTAATCCATGTCAAATGTAGTTTACAAAGGGAAAGGACAAGTACCTTTGTATAGAATATACAGACACAGCATCACACCATGGGGCCCACGGGAGGGGCGGGGGAGACAACACTTCTCCCTGGGAACAGCAGCTCTAATCCCAGGAAAGGTTCTTGGCAGAAGGCTGGGCAACCAGGAGCACCCTCACCCAGCCCCGATCTCAGACCCTGCGACAGCTCGGTTCCCATTTCCTGTGCCTCCCCCCTCCCCCAACTCCTTATAAAGAGCCCCAGGAGCTAAGACTAAGGAGAGGATCATGTCCCTTGGGGCATGTGCCCCATGTCTGGGAGAAGAAATATACACCACTGAACACCGAGCACATGGGAGAGGGAAGGGACACCATGGGAGAGGGCGAGGCAGGCACCCCAAGAGGTGGATGGGCCGAGCTCCCAGCCAGCCCTGAAGGAGGCCCTGCTTCCAGGTGTTCTTAAAAAAAAAGAAAATCATACAACCAAGGGGGAAGGTACGGGGTAGAGGGCAAGGAGTTGTCCCATTTATACACAACATTGTAAACATACACGGTCTATATTACATGTGCTTCAGTCTGGTGTTTGCATGTCTGTCTGTCCGTCCGTCTGTCAGTCTGGGGGCTGGATCTCAGGAGCCTTGCTGCTACTCCCCCCACCCCCACCTCCCTGCCCCACCATGGGAACAGAACCCGGAACAGGTATGGTCCCCAATCTTGGTGGGAGCCAGCAGGCAGGGCCTGGGCCTCAGCCTCCACTCTGGCTCCAGAGTCCTGTGTGTGCGCGCGCGTGTGTGCATGTATGTACACGGGGAACCTGTGTGCAAGTATGTACAAGGGGGAGGGTCACGTCACAGAGGCGGGGCAGGCAGGCTGCTGGAGGCCAGGCCTGCCTGGGGTGGCTAGCTCACAAGTAGATTCTCCGCAGGTCTCCGGGCGCTGTGATGGTGTTGCACTGAGGGCAGAGCTTCTTGGCACCCTGCAGGGAGAAGAGGGCGGGCTCTGGTTATACACACTGGGCTGCATGTTTGCTTGTGTGAGCACCTGGGCCTGCAGCCGTCTCCCTGCCCCAGCTGTGTGCTGGGACCTCGGTCCTGTCAGCCCAGGCTGGGGATGCATGGGCAGCCTCTGTGAGCAGGCAGGCATGCTCCTGTGTTGGGGGGACGCCAGGATCAAACCGCCCGGCTAGCCCCGCAGCGGGAGCCCCGGTAATGAGAACAAGGCTGGGTCCAGCTGTGGCTGCCGCGGCCCTAACGAGATTACATGCGGCCTTTGATCAGGACACAGAGCCCACGTCCGGGCCTTTTATTGCTGTCTCCGGGCGACATTTTAATGGCTGCTCCTGAGCGAAGAGCAGGGGCAGGAGCAGGAGCAGAAGGAGCTTGGTAATGGGAGGGGGAGGGGATGAAGCCCTGGTCCTGCTTATCCAGACCCAGCCTCCTCCTGACCCAGGATCTCACCAGTGTGTGTAATACAGTGGGCTTTCTGGGGGTGGGGGCAGGAGGAAGGGAGCAGGCTGTGAACCCGCAGAGGGGGAAGGGCTGGGGAGGAAAAAATGTAGTGAGTTTGGGGGATGAAAAACCTGGCTTCTGGCTGTGTTCTATGTTCCTGCTCCCCCCTGCCCCTTGCTCCAACCTCCCTCAAGCATGCTCAAGCATATGCATGGACACCCAGGCAGTACCCAAAACAGCCACCCACTCCCCAACCCCCACGCCACCTCACCAGGGTCCGTAGCCAGCACTCCTCACAGTGCACATGCCAACACTGGATGGACGTTAGGGGCATCGAGTATGAGTCCTAGGGAGGGGGTGGGCAGAGAAAGGTCACTCTGAGGCTGGCCCACCCTCTAAAGAGCTCAGATCACAGTGCAGAGACCCTCTCCAACCCCAGGGGGCAGTGAAGCTCGAGCAGGGGCACGCCCAGGCTCCCTTCCTCTCACCATGCAGATGAGGCATTTGTAACGGTCCCCACGGGATAGCTGCCGTTCAAGTTCCCTGACCCGAGCCTTCAGGGCCTCAAACGTGGTCACAGCTGAATCCTCGGTGATTCTGTAAAGAGGACGGCATAGTTGGGCAGGTAGCAGGCTGGCATCCCTAATCTGAACCTCCAGCTTACACCTCCTTTGAATTCCAGAACCACGTATATAAATGTCTCCTAGATATCCTCGCCCCACTACCCCACCCATATCCTGTATCTGCAAATTCCACATCCCAGAACTGAACTCCTCACCCTTCTAGTTCCTCCACCCCCATCCAGGTGAATTTCTAAACCAGATACCTGGGAACCATTCTCAAACTATTCCTTCCCAGTCACCCTGACATCCAAAATCTGTCGCTAGCTCCTGCTATCTCTGGAATCTCTCTACTTGTACCGCAAGTCCAGGTTCTTTCATCTATTCTATGGATTATTCTGCTAACCTGAATGGCCTCTACGCCTCCAGTCCCCTCATCTCCATTCCATTCTCCCAGCAACTAGAATTTTAGAAATTTGACCATTTCTACTTCCAACATGTCAGTGTCTCCCTCAGAGTAAACGCTACCAAACTCCTCACAAGCCTTACAAGGGCCTCTGTGGTCCAGCCCCAGCCAGCAGCACCCCTTAGCACCCTACTACATACTTTATGCTCCATCCACAGGGAACTACTAAGTTTCAACACACCACCATTTTTCATTTCCTTGGCCTCTCGCACTTTCTGCTTCCTCTGGATCACCCCACCTCCTAACTCACCAGCTCCACTGATCTCATCATTCAGGCCTAGTTCCCACCTTCTCCCAGCAGCACCACTGGTGGCTGCCTTTTCTAGCACCTTGCACTGGACTCCACCACAGCAGCGTAATGGCAAATGTCTCTGTCTCCTCAGCTAGACTGTTCCCTGAGGGCAAGCTGCTCATTCCACCAATACTGACTATGGACATTAACCCACACTAGGCATGTGAGCAGACGTAAACACTTGCTGAATAAAGAACCAGTCCAACCCCCAGGGAGAGTAAGAGATGTGGCGACGAAGAGTCTTCATAGTCTAGGTCTCTGGGCTACAGGCCTGGCATACCTCAAAGGCTCCTTGTTGTTTTTTCCTAGGCATATCAGATGCCCAGGTAGTCCTCACCTGTTGTCCAAGTCCTGCACAAGAAAGTCCCTACAGCTTCTCACAGACTCTTTGGGCTGCAATACTGAACAGGGAACAGCTAGGACTATCTCAAGGAGTGGTCCCTCCCACTCCGAAAACAAGTGAATGGAACCCAGAGGAGCTCACAGAGGGAGAAGAGTCCTTCCTGGAGGAACAGAAAAGATGGTACTGGAGACGGGCCTCAGGGAATAATGATGATGATAATACAAATAAAAGAGCTAAAACTTAGTAAGCACTTACTAAATGCCAGGGGTTGCACTGAGGGATTGATAATTATCTTATTTACACCTCACAAAAGCCCCATGAGAAGATTCTAATATTCCCATTTTATATGAGGA